CCCCCCCCCCCCCCCCCCCATTGCTCTTTGATGGGAAGAGGGATCAAAAGACTAGTTTTTGAATGTTTAAAATCTGTTTGTGATGATTTATAACAAACCTGTGGGCAAATATATCAGCTAGGTTCCTCTGTTTCGCGCTACTCCCAGCAGTAGCGACACCCATCTAAAACAGTTTGGCGCCACTATTTGTGAGGCGTGACTCCATCCTGCTTGCCGTTCTTTTTTGGTAAAGAAAGACAACTGAAAAATGCATAGAGAAATGACTTTTTTTAAATTTTAATAAGGCCTCCAAGCATCAAAGTATAGTTAAAATTAAGAGCACAAAAAAAAATCACGTTGACCTTTTGCTATGTTAATGAGTAGATAAATAAATCATTACTTATGAGCTTGTGGATGGTAGTTCTAGAAGTATAACTTTTTGCATTAAATTACTCTTGTCTTGTGGTAATGTTCTATAACGCCTTTTGTACTAAATTTTTTTCTTCTTTGATTCACTTTCAATTTTGTACAATTTTATTTTTTAATCTTGGTATTTGATCAATTGTTGACCATTAATACAGGAGTATTAAATAGATGATGGTAATTGAATGAAAATGACCAGTCCTTTCGTCAAAAAATGTTCTCACTCTTCTTTTTTGGCCCGCCGAAAAATATTCTTTGCATTTTCATTTTTAACTTCAGTACCTACCATTTGTGGGATACAATTGGGTTGTATTTTCTTTTTCAATTATACTAGGGGTACACCTAAAGTGTATCTCAAAAGGATGTACTAATATTTTTATGTTTCACACTGATACAAAATATCATTCAATTAAAAAAATTTGTATTGATATTTTGTGTTATTATAAACTACTCCGTATCACCTTAGTATAAAATGTTGCATGCTTTCGAGGTACAAAGTGGGGTACAGTTTTTGGATATACATAGTTAAATTCTTTATTTTTAACTTATTTTTTAAGAATAAATGTCAATAACATCATTCCACTTTCACACCCATTCATCTAAGATAGTTTACACCCAATTTAAAGTAGCAACATTTTTGAAAGATTGACATTTTCTTTCTTCACCTGATTTGAATAATTCCAATTTGATTAGAATAAATTTTGATCTAGTCTAATTTAGTCTGAATGTAATTATATTTAAAATTATTTTAGATCTCATTTGAATATGAAAAAGTAATAAGAATAAATTAAAAAACAAGACCTAAATAAGCATACCAAGTCAACATGAAAAAAAATTTCAAACGAAGTATTATATTAAACTAAATTTCATCTCATTTGAATTGGATTCGGATTGTATGTGACATCATTAGATCTAATTTGGATTCAATCTATGATCGATTATAAATTGGATCCAATTTGAATCTATAAGAGTCCTATTTGAATTCAATCTGTTGTCATTCCTAGTCATGGAAATGGACATTTTTTTAATAGAAAATTTGTACTGTATAGACTATAGAGTAGTATGAGTATGATCTTTTTTACATAGTGCCAATCTGAATTTCACCTTTGTCTTGGATAAGAAAAAAACTCCATCTTTTTGTCAATGTGATACTAGCAGAATTGACTTTAAGGAACAACTTTTAAAGATGATATTATTCCTGACTAGAATGATTTGTGTGATTATTAATTACCACGCGTCCGGCCCCACCAGCAATCTGTCAATCTACAACTACACACACATTACAAGACTGCCTTATACATACTTCTTCACTTTAGCAGTAACATTTCTACACCTATATACTTTAACACGGTTAGAGACTATGCCTTGAGACAACTTGAGAGAGAGAGAGAGAGAGCTAAGAAGAAGTATAAGCTCAACTGCTCAATCCCACAAGACAGTGAAACGTAAATGCATAAGTAGTAGTAGACATTATTATGATTATTGCTACTACTAAGATACTGCTGACTAACACAACATCAGAAGAAATACCCTTTTCCTTCCCTCGAGCTTCTTCTTCTTCCTCTCCTATAATCTATCTCTGCGTCTGAGCTAGATGAACCGGGTGGGTGTTTTCTGCCATATCTAGAATTCCCCATCTTGTTGGAGGAGAACCCATCCTCCTCCTCCTCCTCCTCGTCACTCTCACCATGAAAGTTTTGTCCAGACTTATCTCTAGAATGCTTCCGCACTGGGCCATCAATTGAAATGAAAAACTATATATGAAAAATCTGGTTTGGAACCCGGAAAATACTTATTCTTATTATGCAAAAAGGTCAGCAAGTCATTTCACAAATTCAACAAAGATTTAAAGTAATGTACTAGCAGCATATATATGTACCTGGTATATTGCTGTTTGGCCCCAGAACACGATATGAGCTTGCTCTGAGATATTGTGGGGTAGCCATATTTTTCTGACCCTTCTCTGCTTTATCTGTTGATAAGTTCATCATATGTTCTTGAGGTTGCTCTCCGGAGGCAAAAGGTGTGATGGTAAATAATGAGGTGTCATCATCCTCATCATCATCATCATCAACTTTATCTAAGACAGCAGCATCAGAAATCTCCACATACTTTGAATTAGTTGTAGTGACGATTTCATCAGCGCTGAAACCAAAGGATGCCCTGTAAGCCTCTCCCATCTCCTCTGTCTCCTGTTGTTTACACCAGGTTGTACTCTGCTTGCTCTGGTTTCTTGTATCTGAATATGCAGCATCGGATTCCTTAGAAACACTGATCCTCCCACCAGAATGAGGGAGTGAGGAGTGATCAATGTAAAACTGTGCAAACGTGTCTGGGCAGAAAAAATTAGAATCTTGATGAGAAGACTTGAAATCTTGTTGGGTGGGGGGAACTGAAGATGGGTCCCATGAGGAGCGGTCCCCAGCAGTGATTGATGATGAGAGGAAGTGAGCGTAAGGGACATCAGGAGAAGATGGGGTAGTGAGGTGTGACATCTCTGGCGGCGGTGTGAGAGGAGCCGTGGATGGTTCGGTCGTGAATGTGGAGAAAACAGGAGGAGACACAAGTTGAGTCTCGTGGGCATATGGACCTATAGCAAACATATTACCGGACGACGACGACGCTAGGCCCCCCGGAGACGAGTAACAGTTTGGTGATTGAGCTGTTGAAGGGGTTGAAAAGGATGCAGGTGAAGAAGGCGGGGCTAAAAGAGACAGAGCCACCAGTCCTGTAGTAGTAGTAGTAGCAATAGTAGTCGTCTGGTTGGGAGCTGATTGGGGTCCGTTTGGCAGCTGATTGGCCTCTCGCATTCGGGCAGCAGGTGCAATACGTTTTCCACCTTTTTGTTTTCCGAAACAAGACAATCCACCCCCACAACATCCTATCCATCTTTTACGCTGTCAAAAACAAAAAATTAGAAAAAAAAGTTCAAGAGCACATTCAAAATCACAAATATCCATGACGGCATGGTGGCAAAGGACCTAGAGTTTAATGCAGAGTACTACGTCTACATCATCTTAAGATACGAAGCCCGTTTGATGGATAGCAGATTTTGAACAGCACAGCTAGTCGTTTACAGATTAACTACTGTAGGCAGGTCAATTTTTTTATAGTTAAGGAATAAGTGGCAGCTAAGCCTGGCACCAATTCTTAACAAAAGCCCTACACACTGCAAAACATCAAGAACTCCTACGGCCAACGTACCCATCAAAACCTCCAAGTCGGCTCTTTCAGCTAAACTAAAATAGCAAAATTCTATAATCATGTGCAGTACTAGTGGCAAGCTAACAAGTAGGGAGAGAAACACAGAACTATATGCATAGTATATTGTTTACACTGTCACCAGTACCAAGTGTTAAATATACATACAATTAGTATATACAGCGTACCCCACGTGGAAACAAAGGATGTTTTTTTCTCAAGACTGTCGTATAAAAACTGATGATGGGTGTGCAATTGCAGAGTTTTGTTTTTTCAAAAGAAAAGGGGAAAAAGAAAAACAAGCTGGAGCTAGTCATCTATCTGGTTTGAAGCTAAAACCAAAGCCACTCAAAAGTGCATAGGAATTAAAACAACTCTGAAGTAGAAAAAGTTACTCCTAGCTAGCTAATTTACCATAGCAGATCTGCTTCTACAAGAGGTGATTCTGCTACAGATTGGATGATGATCTTGAATTTAATAGAAATTAGAGGAAGAAAAAAAAAACCTAAACGGCAGAATCCCCCTCACCTCAAAACAAAGCAAGCTATACAACAAGCAATCGCTAGTGATGGGAATCTGTGGGGGATAGAAATTTAAAGGAAAATAATAATCCGTAGTAAAATTTTAAAAGGCACAAGGAAACAAGCAGATCTGAATATTACCATAGGGCGAGGAGCAAGAATCGGAGGTGGCGGGAACCCATTATGCTCAGAACCCATTATTTTTTTATCTTCTTCAAGCAACCACCGCCGGTGAGTTGTTCAACTGCGGCGGCTTTCCCATCCCACTTACTAATAATTTCCAAATAACCGCCGCTGCTGAACAAGAATCGGAGGTGATGAATAATAATATATAGGGGTGAGTTGCTCCGTACGTACAGCTGAACAATTGGATTGGATCTTCTTCTAACTGCTGCTGCTGCTGAAATCTCTCCTACGTACTACTACTTACTGCACATAATTAATACACACACAGACTGAGGTAGCGTGATGATATGTATGTATGTATCTATCTATCTATGCCCAGGGAAATACACACAGAGAGAGAGAGAGAGAGAGAGAGAGAGAGAGAGAGAATGAGTGATTGTATGAATGAATGAATGAATACACAGGAGTACTCAGACATCGCCGAGACATTCATTCAATCAATCATATATATACATACAACTGATACACACAGTACGGAGGGAGTATTTGATTTGCAAATGGTTTGTGCTCAAATTCTACAATCTGTAATAATAGATTTTGGGGGGGGGGGGTATGGAGTGTAGTAGATGATTGCATTAAATGCTTCCTTATTAATCTCTCTCTCTCTCTCAGATGCTGACAGTTCGAAGATTTAGGTAATGTGATAAACGTTGGTGTTTCTGTCCCCAGAGCTTTCTGGATTTGGTGATCTCCCCCTCTCTCTCTCTTCCTAAATAAATGACCAGAGAGAAAGAAAGAAAGAGATGGATGTGGTTTTTGCCCTTTGCTTTCAATCAATCACAACTTCACAACTTTTTTTTTTTACGGACTATTTCACTCACTTTGTCTTCATGCCGAGTAACTTTTTTCAAGGTGCGTTTGGCAGATGACAAATTTTTTTCCACAAAATTCTCATTCTACTTTTTTATGTTTGATAACATAAAGGTATGTCCAAGTTGTTCTGGAAAAATCATAAGAAAATATTGGAATCCATTGTAAGTTTTAGTGTGATAGGGTCCGCATATGTCCAGGTGTATTAGCTCAAATAAATGGTCAAAGTGGGTTTGACTGTGAGGAAAAGGTAACTTATGTTGCCTAGCTTTAGGACAAACATCACAAGAAGAAAGAAGATTGAATTCATTATCTGGATTACCTACTTAGTTATACACAATCACAATGTGACATCTTGATATACCAAAAGTATGTCAGAAAATGAATACAATCATACTAAATTTATGGTTATTTTTTATTTCTACATTATTTTTTATATAAAATAATTTGAAAATAACTTTAGTCAAACATTATAAACCAAAACATGTACTCCCTCTATCTCATTTTAAATTGCATGTTTGCCTTTTTTCTCCATCCCAAAATAAGTTGCCTGTTAGTTGTTTTCGTAAACTTTTAAAAATAAAATACCTAAATTACCTCTAAAATAAGTCACTCTTCTTCACCTTATCTTCTCATTCATCGTCACCCTTCCTAAAAATAATGACAATTTCAGAAAATCAATTCTATTTTTTTCCTTAAATATGGCCAAAAGTCAAAACAGGCGATTTAAAACGGAACGTAGAGAGTAATTTAAATTGGGACAGAGTTAATAATATACTCCCTCCGTCCCAATTTAAATCGCCTGTTTTGACTTTTGGACATATTTAAGAAAAATAAAAAATAGAATTGATTTCCCAAAATTGACATTACTTTTTAGGACGGGTGATGCTGAATGAGAAGATAATGTGAAGAAATGTGACTTATTTTAAGAGTAGTTTAGGTATTTTATTTTTAAAAGTTTACGAAAACAACTAACAGACAACTTATTTTGGAACGGAGAAAAAATGCAAACAGACAATTTAAAATGGGACGGAGGGAGTATTAAAATATATTTTCCCCACAAACCATGATAAAATTTTTAAATTTGGACCAAAAAATATAAAGATGTTTCTAGGATGGATGCAATTGATAGTGCAGCAAACTATTACACTAATAATATATACGCAGGTCATTACGGAGTACTTTTTACTATCTCGGAGTGTCTTACAAATATTTAAACAATAGTAATAATAACACCTTTCAAAAAAAAATAGTAATAATAACAAAATAAAATCAATAATAAACAGGTATGCAACCACTCAGTCCTCTTTTTGAAAAACCTAAAAAAAGCAAATACGCAGGAGGCACCCAAACCAAATGGACCAAGAGGCAGCAAGAATGAATAACAGCAGTAAGTACTAAAACACAGAAGAAGAAGAAGAAAGCCCCAGCGAGAAATCTCTACATTTTCTTTTCCTGAAAACAGAGAGTCTCGCTCGCTTGCTCGCTCACTCACAGTATCACACCTTTGAATCACCAAGATCTATATCCTTAATGGGAGTGTTTTCCACTCCCTCCTTGAGTAATCTTAGTTCCTCTTCTGTCAAGCTGTGCTTTGAGGCAGGAGTGATCTTTGTTGTTGCATTGGCAGCCTTCTCAAGCTCCACAGCCCAGCTATATATCACCATTCCAACCACTGCAGTCAGCATTCCCATGATATTCTTCATAGTCAGCTCCGAATCAAAGAGCAGCCACCCCAAAGTGAGTACACAAACCGTCTTCATGTGCCCTAACACCTGGAACGAAACTGCCGAGAACCTCCCAATGCACAGGTATTGGCTAATGTTGCAGAACACGGCGAGAGAACATGAAAGCAGTATAAAGAACTGCACAAATCCTCATCAATCAGTAAGAATCTCATGCTAATCAATGCACATGAACCAACACTCATCAAATATTCCGAATAGTCATGGAATCTGTATCCTAAGATTACATTTTCAAATTTGTTATTCTGTAAAATGTTTGAAATTCCATACATTTTCTTCTAATGTGCAAATAATCATGCACTCCGTATTAAGTTATAACCATATAGACTCTGTTTTGCTTAAATGCATGTTGGTTATGCCCTTTTTTCTGTAGACAATACTTTTTCTCCTATCGTGTTATTTTATATGTTTTTTTGTAGGTGGATTGGGGGGGGGATCAACTTGTGCCTTCCTTTTTATTCACTACAAAAAATGTGGTTTGATCTGCCATAAGTAAAGCATTTAGTTTGCTGCTAATATAATGGATTGATGAATTAAAAACGGAACAATTTCTTCCGTTGCTAAATGAATATTTGAATTGATTTCAAATCATATTAAAGGCTTTTGACAAATCAGATTCAAATCCAGTTTAGAATTCAAAATTTGACTACGAATACAACTACACATTATCAAATCAACTCCGAAGAGGCATATACCTGGCTATCCAATTCCATTCAGTTTATTTACAGCCCTATTTGGGACCAAAGAAAACTTTAAAAGTAACTTCTTTTTTGGTATGTACGTAGTGTATAAAAATCTTCAACTGTTTGCTAGAAATTGGTTGTTATTGACGCATAGGAAGTAGGATGATACAGTAAGAGGTATATTATTCAAGTGCAAGAAATTGATATGATACAAAAACACTTACAATTGCGCCAGAAGAATACTTGTAGTCTAGTATTAAGTTTCCAGAAAGAAAATAGTCAACAAAAGGACCCAGCACAAGGAGAGACGCAGCTTGAATTGGAGCTGTTCTGCTCAATAACTCAAAAGATCCAACTGAATACTTCTTTTGCAAGGAACCTATGGACTGTGCACCAAACATTAAAAAAACAAAATGAAAATGTTAAAATTCTTGTGATTGTGCTAGTATTGGCTATGAATCAATTTCGTAAATGTGTAGGACGTAAAAGTACTTACAATTTGTTGCAATGAGGTAGAAAACACTGCTACACATGCACAAATAAAACCTTTGGCATTAATTTTGACATCAGTCACAGTGCAAACCCCCACTCCAATGACAACCACCACAACAGCCATTTTAACCTCCCTGCTGTAATGCTTACTATGAATGATCCATTCCATCACACATACCACCGGAATCATACTCAATTTTGAAATCTATGCCAGAAGTGTTACCAAAGGTTAGATGCATGAAGAAATTACACTTTAAAGTCATACAAAAAACTATGCTGATAGTTCATGGCTTTGAGATTTAGGGTGCTTTCGATACATCCAAAAGTTAAGAAAGACATGGATGTGCAGTTATGTGTGGGCTGATTAGAATAGATTGGTGGGTATGTGTGTGATAATTCCATGCTAAAGTGGGTTATGTGTTCTTCTCCCTGCTAGTCCCTCCCTCCAAGAACAATAATTCCACAAACTACTGCTACTAGAAAAATGTGGAACCATAAGTAAATGCAAAAGGCGAAGCAAAAAGGATGGGGGGCTGACAATTAAATTGATTCTTTTGCTTCAAAATCTCAATCAGTGCTTTACTATAAAATATAGTACGTGACAATTGGCATACAAACATCCTTGAAAAACTTACTCCCTCTGTCCCTAAATAGAAGTATTGGTTGGACTTCATGGAGTTTAAGAAAGTTGTTGAAAAGTGAAAAATGTGTGGATAGAATTTTTTTTATAGGCAAAATAGAGGATGTGAGTCACATGTTCTTTTTTTTATGGAAAGAAAGGAAGTGAGAAGTTTATTTTGGGACTGATAAAAAGGGAAAGTGAGAATTTTATTTAGGGACGGAGGGAATATATCATTAAGTTATTGTTGTGTGCGCGCACTTAAAGAAGCATTGTAGTTATAGTGATAACCTTTATTTACCTTCTGTGGTCCATTCTTCCAATAACAAATACAGTCTACTACCATTATGGGGAAAGAGTAGGAAAATAATGGGATGCAAAAGGTACAGCAAAATTGAATGCAAAAGGTAAAGCAAAATTGAATGCAAAAGGTAAAGCAAAATTGAATGTTTGAGACAGGCAATTAAATTGAATCTTTTCATTAATAATTCTAACAAACAGTTTTCTATAAAATATATGGTAGTAGGTTACATATAAAAGCACTTTCATGTGGTGGACTAGTGGTAGGCTTCGAGTTGATGTGTGTACTACAATCCCTGATAATGACACATCAAGGGCTTGGGAAACTTCATACCTGATAAAATCCAACTGAATTTAGCATGAGACTGAAGTTCATCCCTGTAATAGACATATTTGCAACAATTGAAAACCAAATAAGCTCCCACAAAGGAATATGCTTTGATGCAGAGAGCCCAGTAGCATTTGAAATCATCCCAACAAGTGCAGTCACAGCAAAATGGAATCCAGTCAACGTCGTTGCTGGATATTGAAAAAAAGCACAGTCAATTTTTTGAGCTGTGAAGTGTTAACTGTAATCTTTAATGAAACAGAAAATACAATCAAGTTTGAGTTAACCTTATGCAAATTAAAAGCAGCAAATATAAGATATACTCCGTACATCATATGTCAACGAGGATTTAAAAGAAAACAAAGATCCTACAGGTCACAACTCATATATCATCTAACACCACTTGCAAACATCTGTCAAAATAACAAAGACACTTTTTCCACTTCCTGAAACAGGTAATCCGAAGGGGAGAAAAGAGAAATAGACATACTTCTCAAGATTTCGTATCAATGGTGTAGAATATCAATAATATACATTTTTGATGGTGGAAAACATCATGATGATCTAAACACAGCTGTGTCACATATTGTTAAAAACTTGCTGCCACTATGTTGCACCCTTTTTTTACCCAATGCTAATGTTGCATAGCATAGCAAGATTTTACAAATTATACAAAGAATATTGTGATGTCGGACTAGCTGATGTAAACCAAAAGTAGGGACTCTAAAACACAAAACTGGATGAGGGGAAATGAAATAAGTAGTCCTTCAGTATCACAAAAAGAGGAGCACAGCAGCCCTCTTAGCTCAAAACTGAATACAGATCCATTGAGAGGAGATGGGGACAGGTCGTCCAAATCTAATCACAAGTTAAAGCACGGGAGCAATCACAGCGCCATGACAATAGCCATGACTCTGAAATGATTGAGGCAGTAACACGAAAATCCGGCAAAACAAAAAAAAAACTAGTAAAAATTGATTTTGATTAGATGTGGGATGGAGATAGAAATTGGCATCCGAATCTAATGATAGTGGGGAAATGGTGAATTTAACAAGGGGTTCAAACAATAAAAAAGGATATCTAAGGAAGAAGATGGATGTTGAGATCTATGTAGTGGAGATGCAAGTACGTAAATTGAGAGAGAGAGAGAGAGAGAGAGAGAGAGAGAGAGAGAGAGAGAGAGAGAGAGAGAGAGAGAGAGAGAGAGTTACCAAAGCTGAAAGAGTAGCCGTGGTTGGACATGAGCTGCTTGTTGGCGAGGATGATTCCGACTGAGCTGACGACGTTCATCGCCCATGCTCCGACGTCCGACACGGCGGAAGCTTTCTTATCGGATTCCATGTTCTATTTGGAGGAGAGATCCGCTCGAGAACAAATGCAGAGTGGGGTTGGGGAAGAGGCAAATCTCTAATAGATCTCAAAATGGGAAAAAGACAAGGTTAGAATGATGATGATGTTCAATTGATACCTTGCTTCCTAAATTAAGAATGGAGGGAGGGAGGGAGGTGCCTATTTCACTTGGTCAAGTAACTACAGGAGGGAAGAGGGGAGGAAGGGACATGTGATGTGATGCAGAGTGGGTGTTGTCTGTATGCGTAATGGCGATGATGAATGGATCTGAAACAAAACAAAAACAAAACAAAGAGGAGAGGGGAGGGGAAGGGGAGGAGTGCGGGAGATATTGAAGACAGAGGAGGGGTTCGAGATATGCGGTAGAGGAGGGTGGAGAGAGAGAGAGAGAGAGAGAGAGAGAGAGAGAGAGGATCAACGTTTGATTTTTCCTTGTTTCAAATCTTCTCCTTTCCTTCCCCAGCTCACTCCTCCCTTGAGTTCCTTCCCTTATTTCTCCTTTTACTCGTCTTTTTTCACTCCCTTCCATATATACGAAGAGGCTCCAACTCCCCAAAATAATGACATTCAACAATAAAATTTGGATTAGTGTGACTTAGACTTGTGTTATCGTCCTCTTACATATTTTTTATGAGCTCATAACTGAATCTCTTTAATTTTATAATGGTCAATACTACTCTTTTGAATTAGATTTTCAGAGTTAGATATTGGAAAACAAATAAAAGAGTATGTATTAAAAATCCACTCAATTAAATAATCATTTAAATAAATATATTAAAAAAATTTAATTTTTGCTAAAAAGAAGTCATCATTATTTCTGCTTGAGGTGATATGTTAAAAATTTGAATGTATAGTGTTATTTTATATTAATCACGCATAAATATTTTTTAAGTCGTTGTTGGAGGAAACTCGAAGAAGATGGAAGGAATTAGAAGAAGTTTGAAAAAATTGGAAGGACTAGGAAAAAGTTGGGAGATAGAAATCTCCTTGAATATGAGTAAAAAATGTGAAAAAACTAAAATAAAAACTAAAATAAATATCCTCAACACATATTTTTTTTATGTAAAATTGAGCCGAAAGGAACAATAACCTTCCATTTGATTTTTGTTTTTGTGTAAAAAACTAATTAGCAAGACTTCAAGAGTGTTTTGATTAGTATTTTCAAAATAAAAAAAATCCAAAAACATATAAAAAAACTTCCGCAAATAAGTGCCTATTCTTATAGAGGAATGCTAGGGGTACACCATTTGTCCCCCACCCATTTCTCCACCATATAATTTTATTTTATTTTTATTTATTTAATTTTTTTTATTTTCTTGCTTTTTTTGTTGTGATGGAGGGGGTGGAGGATAAATGTAGTACATCTTTTGGTGTACCCTAGCATTTTTCATTCTTATATGTAACTGCATGTGCAAAGGTTCCATAGTTGGCCATTCATTATGATTAATTACCATTATAGGATCCTATTTGCTGTTTGTGTTGATTAAATCTATAATCCAACCCAGACATATGGAGTAGTAAAACTTGTTCTTACTGGTCAAGATGGAGTAAGACCGTCAGATGTGACTGAGACCAACTCGAAGGCCAAAACTGCATCGTTTGTTAATGACCAAAGATGATCGATCGATCGATCATCCGTGTCCCCCGATTCACCCAATTTCCCTTTCATACGTAGCAGCTCCCGGAGTCTGGTGGCGCGATGAGTTCCCTTGCAGGATCTGTGAGCGCCGCTCATCCACTTGCTCTACCGGCGTGGAATGGCGTCGTTAGGGTTTCAGGCACACCGACTCATTTCTGGGGGAAGAAGAGGGGAAAACCGAAGAATGGAGAAGTTGTACGAGCGTCCATGGTGAAAGCTAGACCCAGTCTAGTGCCCGCCATCAGAGATCGGTTGCCTGACACTAGTAATCCTTCTTTGCAACGAGGTGAAATCTCCTCCTCCGGTTCATCTAGCAGTGATCGAGCAGATGATATGCAAGCTGAAGCTCGGGCATTGGCGCGTGCAGCTAATGCTTCAGTTTATAGCCCACAACTCTTGTTTACCAAATTTGGCTCTCGACCCCTCAAGGTACAAAAGATCTCAAACACTACGCCAATTTCAATTGACAGTGCGGAACTCTTCCTACAATCATATCTTCACCTGGTTATAACTTTTGACTTGGATAATAGGTAGTGAGCAGAGGGTTCGAAATCATAGTTAGGCTATGTTCTTTCGCCTTTAAACTGTGGCTGGACGAATTGAATGGCCAACTCAACCAAAACAGAAGATTGAGGGCGGTGGAGTTGAGGCAGATTTTCACCACTTTAGGCCCTACTTTTGTTAAGATTGGCCAGGGATTATCCACCCGACCAGATTTATGCCCTCCAGAGTTTCTTGAAGAGCTATCTAAATTGCAGGTACTCACACTGCAACTATCAAAGGATATATTGATACAACCCATCTCTTCCATCTGGACTCTTTACAAAATGAATGTTTTAGTTGTTGCTTTAAAGCCCTTAAGTAGAAGGAAAATGATTTACAATTTGATACAGAAGAATGAGAACATGGAGTAGTTATTATAAGAAATAGGGTGTCAAAAAAACTCCACTACTTATCGAAGCCCAATAAGAGCTTTGTTTACAACTGTCCCTTTTCCCTCCACCTTAAGGATACATTATCCTCTTTCAAAATTTGAACATGTAAAAGAAATATGCAAGCGTTATTGAGAAAAGAAGAGTTTAGTGTTAGTCATGATTTTTAATACTAGTAAAGGAAATTGAAGACAACCATTGATATACTCAATTTAATTCAACACATTGTAAATGTGCTCCAAGTAGAACATTACCAATCAAATCTGAGCCTGAACGTCTTGGTCTTTATTTTGGTTTGATTTAGCTATATGGATGTTCGGGTTTGAACTTGTAGCTTGGTGAGCTCAAAATATGAGGTACAAGTTTGTCTCAACACATGTTCGATGCCCTACTTCAGTGTTTGATACTATTGAAAAATATGCTCAAATTTAGTAGCTCAACTCATGCTCGATAATTGGCTTGTGTTCGAATAGTTTGACGAGCATTCAATCTGTTAATAATCTTATTTAGATCTAGAAATTACACCAAAGTCTGAATTTTGATACATACACATGCATATGTATGTATTGTAAGTGCCGATGAAGATAGAGCTGTATCTATGTATTGTGCAAGTGTTGTACGCTTGTTCTATCTTTCTATCTTTTAAATGTAAATATTTTTCAAACATTAATTTTAGACATGCTCCTAAATGAGTGAAAATCAAAATGCAGAGAAGCTGAAATAACAAACACACCCAGACATTTGGAAACAACAAACTGAATGAAAAGTTGTTTTCAAATATATACCCCCCCGGTCTTTGGAAAAAGAAACTACATGCAGAAACCTGAGCTTGAATCTAGGATAGTAAGATCTTAAGTTCCTAAAATCGCCAGAGTTTTTTGTACTATGTATCTTTAGAAATTTTATTTATAACAAGCATTCCAAAAACACTTCGTCTTCTACCAGATTTCAGCTGCCACTTTTGAAGCGACAATGAGTGGGAGCTTGATTCCTCTTACAGCTCTAATTACCATAATTAATAAATGAGATAAAGCTAATTACTAGTATAACAGAAGTGATCAATTGAAATCTTATGCCGTTCATGGTGAAATGAAAGAAATGGAAGGAGATTATGGTTAGAAGAGAAGCTGATGCTATTTATAGGTGTTTGATATGTGCTCTAAAAACTATAACGCCAAACATTACCATGTTTGAGCTCAGCTCGAAGAAATATTTGTGTCTAAATGCGGTTCATATTTGAATCCCAACATTGTTAGGCTTGAAATCAAGCTTAATCTGGTCGATAACTCCTATAACTCCAAGGATAAATGTAATGAGATTATTCTAGATGTGATAGTGCTGAACCAAAGGGCCAATTTAAGGAGTACAAAGTTCTTATCATACCCTCATGATACATACATTTTAATCCAGAGGTGTCCATAGATGTATTGTTTTCAATTAATTTAGAGTTTCAGACTTCTATATAAATTGAAGTGTACTAGACTAATTGTTCTGGTCGCTTGTTGGTACTGTGTAGGATGCATTGCCTACTTTTCCTGACACGAAAGCATTTTCCTGTATTGAGACGGAGTTGGGATGCCCACTCGATGCAATCTATTCTTCTATATCTGCATATCCAGTTGCTGCAGCTAGTCTGGGCCAAGTTTATAAAGCTCAACTGAAGTACACTGGTCAGGTAGTTGCTGTCAAGGTTCAACGACCGGGTATCGAAGAAACAATAGGATTAGACTTTTGCCTTATAAGAGGCTTAGGTGTTCTCATCAATGAATATGTTGACACGATAACAAGCGATGTTGTTGCTCTCATTGATGAATTTGCTCGTCGAGTATATCAAGAGCTCAACTATGTTCAGGTTAGTTTTACTAGCACTTCATTGTTATTCTCTTGAACCACATGTATGTAAAATTTATCTTGTTTTTTAGTCTTGCAGGCTGGATATGATTCCCTAAGTTGTTTCAAATAAAGGAGCTTCAGTTTTAGACTTATCTGAACTCCTACAATGCTCCTCCGGGTTTGAATGTTAATTTTGACAGGTCTATGCAGGAAGGACAGAATGCAAGAAGGTTTAAGAAGTTATATGCAGACAGAGATGATGTTCTTGTCCCAGACATTTTTTGGGACTACACGAGTGGGAAAGTTTTAACCATGGAGTGGGTGGAAGGTGTTAAATTGAATGAGATAGAGGCCATTGAGAGACAAGGGCTAAACATTTTGGATCTGGTGAACACCGGCATCCAGTGCAGTCTCAGACAATTGCTGGAGTATGGTTATTTTCATGCGGATCCTCATCCTGGAAACCTCTTGGCAACACCTGACGGGAAGCTTGCTTTTATTGATTTTGGTATGATGAGTGAAACTCCTGAAGAAGCAAGATTTGCAATTATTGGTCATGTGGTTCACATGGTTAACCGGGACTATGAGGCTATGGCTCGTGACTACTATGCATTAGACTTCTTATCGCCTGATATAGATGTTTCTCCTATTGTACCAGCACTTCGAGATTTCTTTGATGATGCACTTAACTCTACCGTGAGTGACCTTAACTTTAGAACAATTGTTGATGGGTTGGGAGCTGTGTTGTATCAATACCCTTTTAATGGTGAGCTACTTCTCCAATTCTAGTCTTATCTTTTCTTCCTAATCTATTTGCTTATGAAGTGTACTAGGTTTTTAAATTCTTGTTGTAAAATAAAAGAACACGATGGCTTTTGCTTGAATGTAAACAATACAGCCACTTGCATTGTTTCTGACATTTCTGTTTCAATTTTCTGAATTTGTTTTTGCAGTTCCACCTTATTATGCATTGATTCTAAGGTCACTCTCTGTTTTAGAAGGCTTAGCTCTATATGCTGATCCTAATTTCAAAGTACTGGCTGCATCATATCCATATTTTGCTAAAAGGCTTCTTACAGATCCCAACCCATATCTTAGAGATGCTCTCATTGAGCTGCTTTTCAAGGATGGGAAGTTCAGGTCTGCATTGAGTTTCCTGTTTCATACTCCCTCCGTCCCAATTTTGATTACAAATTGGAAATTATGAGGCAAAATCCTACATCTTTTGAAATCATTTTCATTACAAATTGGTACATCAATAAAAAAGAAAAATACACAAATAAACAAAAGTTATTGAGAAGTGAGAAAAAAATTGTAATCAATTTTGGGACGTAGAAAATATATACTTGGTGGACTTGTATTGTCTGCCTCTCTACTTTCAAGCAGGGGCAAGGTATGTGTACACACACCCTTCTCAGACCCTAATCCAACAGGGTACCGGGTTGTTGTTGTTGGACTTGTGTTGTCTACTAAGTAACTCGTGACCTCATCCTTTTGCGGTAGGTGGAATAGACTTGAGAACCTGCTTGCCCAGGGAAAGAAAGATCAAGATTTTTCTGCAAAAGATGCTTTTCAACCTGTCCTGAAGTTATTATTGGGTCCAGATGACATGGCGTTACGGGATTTGGTGACTAAAGAGGCTATCCGTGTCACTGAAGCAGTCATTTTGGGATCAATTATTGAATCTTATAACTTCATCCTTGGTCCCTTGAGGTCTATAATCTTCAATGGCAATGCAGCTGGTCTTTTAATGAGTACTGCAGAAGAGAAAAGTATGATGGATCTCAGGGCACAAGTATTTAGGATATGGGGTCTTTTACTATCATCTAAGGGTTTTGATCCAAACCTTCTACAACCAATTTTACAGGTAATCTATATCTAGCAATATACGAGTATGTTTGGCAAACTGACCTGAAAAGGCTATGTTTGGCAAGCTGACCTGAAAAGGCAAAAAGGTGAAATAGTGACTTTTTTCAAGGGGTGAAAAAGTGACTTAAAGCTGAAAAGGTAATTGATTATTTTTTGAAAAGCAGGTGACTTGTTATTTTTTTCGTCAATCCATCTAACTGATTGTATTTCACGTATGAACAAACTTAAGTTTTTTATTTTCCAAAATACTCCATATTTAATAGTCAAATCAATCCATTGAAGTCAAATAAGGTGCGTGTTTTGTTTGCCAAACATAATCCTAGTATGGAATTCTCGGTCAAAGAGGTAGTAACATCTACTTTCACTTACATTTGTTGAGGTCTCCGAGCATGAATTGCATTCAAAAAATTCGATTTATAGCTTGCTTTTATCATTAGTTAACTAAATGAGATACAACACACCCATTATAATGGGGAGGATAAAATGTACACATGTTTATCCCTATATAAAAAAATCAAAGGCTATTTTTGCTAACCCTTAATGCATTGTTGTGTTTACTACACCCAAAACTTCATAAAAAGTGGCAAGAGAAATTTTATGTGCCATTTTGACTCAGTCCATATGCTTGAAACTAGCTAAAACTTTGTCAATGATGACCGTTGTAACTCCATTGGCAAGTGAAATAGCTGAATACAAAAAAATAGTTGTGTCATTATTTTGAAGCTAACTTTTGAAGCACTGATGACCAGATACTTCAAGAACCAGAGGCACGCCAGATTGGGGGGAGTGTGGTTGGTGGAATAAGCCAACGCCTTGCTGCACGGTTACTGCAACAAGTTCTTCAACCTCCTCCTTCTGGATAGGAAATGGCATCTGCGCATTCAATCTATTGGTCGTTCGAAGAAAAACTTAAACATAGTGTATTTACGCATGTCAGAAAGGTTTTTTTAATTACATTTTTTGCCTTGTTTTACATCCATAAAAAAAGTTGCAAAATTTGACATACATGCTTTTATTTGCATGTAAAATACTTTGTAAAAGTTTCATGTCAAAAATACTTGTCAATAATGTCTAAATTATTAGTTTTTTTAGTTTTGCACTCGTGCTCTAGGGTACCATCACATTTTTGGCAAAATTTTAAATTTATCAAAAAAGTTGTAAAATTTGACATTGATGTTTCTACTTGCATGTAAAATTCTTTGTAAACGTTTAATGTAAAAAATACTTGTTAATAATGTGTAGATTATAACTTTTTTAGTTTTGGTCTTGAGCTCTATCATCACAATTTTTGCCAAATTTTAAATTCATCAACAAAGTTGCAAAGTTTGACATGAATATTTTTATTTGCATGTAAAATCTTTTCTAAAAGTTTAATGTCAAAATACTTGAAAATAATTTGAAAATAATGTCTAAATTATATTTTTTAGTTTCGGTCTTGAGCTATAGGGAAACCATCATATTTTTTGGCCAAATTTTAAATTCATCAAAAAAGTTGCAAAAAATGACATGGATGTTTTTATTTGCATGTAACATCCTTTGTAAAAGCTTCATGTCAAAAGTATTTTTCAATAATGTCTAAATTATAATTTTTTTTAGTTTTGGCCTCGAGCTCTAGGTCTATCTTCACATTTTTGGCCAAATTTTAAATTTATCAAAAAACTTGTAAAATTTGACATGGATATTAATATTTGCATGTAAAATCCTTTGTAAAGTTTCATGACAAAAATACTTGAAAAAAAATGTCTAGATTTTAATTTTTTTTAGTTTTGCTCTCGGGATCTAGGGGTACCATCACATATTTGGCCAAATTTGAAATTGATCAAAAAAGTTGCAAAAAGTGACATGCATGTTTCTATTTGCATGTAAAATCTTTTGTAAAAGTTTCATGTCCAAAATACTTGTCAATAATGTCTAAATTATAATTTTTTAGTTTTGACCTCGACGTTTAGGGGTACCATCACATTTTTGGCAAAATTTTAAATTTATCAGAAAAAAATGCAAAATTTGATATGCATGTTTCTATTTTCATGTAAAATGCTTTGAAAAAGTTTTAATGTCAAAAGTACTTGTCAATAATGTCTAAATTATGTTTTTTTTGTTTTGGCCTCGAGCTCTAGGACTACTATCACATTTTTTGGCCAAATTTTAAATTTATCATAAAACGTGTCAAATTTGACATGGATATTTATATTTGCATGTAAGATCCTGTATAAAAGTTTCTTGTCAAACGACTTGTCAGTAATGTCTAAATTATAATTTTTTTTAGTCTTGACCTCGAGCTCTAGGGGTACCATCACATTTTTTTGACAAATTTTAAATTCATCAAAAAAAATTCCAAATTTGACAGGGATATTATTTTTGCATGTAAAATCCTTTTTAAAAGTTTCATGTAAAAAATATTTGTCAGTACTATATAAATTATAAATTTTTTAGTTTTGGCCTCGAGCTCAAGGTGTATTATCACATTTTTTGGCCAAATTTTAAATTTATCAAAAAACTTGTCAAATTTGACATTGATTTTTCTATTTGCTTTTGAATTCTTTTGTAAAAGTATCATGTCAAAAAGACTTGTCAGTAATGTCTAAAATATAATTTTTTTAGTTTTGGCTTCTATCCCTAGGGGTACCATCACATTTTTTTGGCAAAATTTTAAATTTATCAAACAATTTCCCAAACTTGACATGGATTTTTCTATTTGCATGTAAAATCCTTTGTAAAAGTTTAATGTCAAAAAACATCTTTGTAATGTATAAATTATACTCCCTCCGTCTCAGAAAACATATCACCTTTCTTTTTTCATCCGTCCCAAAAAACTTTTCTCATTTATACTAAAAAGTCACTTTTACCCTTACTTTTTCATACCCTACTTATCACATCATACCTTTTTACTAATAATCTATCAATCAAATCATACTTTAACCATCACATCAAATGACATTTTTAGAAATTTAATACCAAAATACACTTCCCTTAAATCTCTCTCCAAAACCAAAATTCCCATGTTTTCCGGGACGGAGAGAGTACTTCTTTTATTTTTGGCCTCGAGCTCTAGGAGTACGTATTATCACATTTTTTGGCCAAATTTTAAATTCATAAAAAAATTTGCCAAATTTGACATGGATATTTCTATTTGCATGTAAAATCCTTTGTAAAAGTTTCATGTCAAAACGACTTGTCAGTAATGTATAAATTATAATTTTTTTTGTTTTGGCCTCAGGCTATAACATCACATTTTTTAGCCAAATTTTAAATTCATCAAAAAATTTGCCAAATTTGACATAGATATTTATATTTGCATGTAAAAATCCTTTGCAAAAGTTTCATGTCAAAAAGACTTTTCAGTAATGTGTAAATTTTAATTGTTTTAGTTTTGGCCTCGAGTTCTAGGGGTACCATCACATTTTTTGGCCAAATTTTAAATTTATCAAAAAACGTCCCAAATTTTACACGGATATTATTTTTGAATGTAAAATACTTTTTAAAAGTTTCATGTCAAAAAGATTTGACAGTAATGTCTAAATTATAATTTTTTAAGTTTTTGCCTCGAACTCTAGGGGTACCATCACAATTTTAAGCCAAATTTTAAATTCATAAAAAAATTTGCCAAATTTGACATGGAAATTTCTATTTGAATGTAAAATCCTTTGTAAAAGTTTCATGTCAAAACGATTTCTCAGTAATGTATAAATTATAATTTTTTTAGTTTTGACCTCGAACTCTAGGGGTAACATCACATTTTTTTGGCCAAATTTTAAATTCATCAAAAAATTTCCAAAATTTGACATGGATATTTCTATTTGCATGTAAAATCCTTTGTAAAAGGTTCATGTCATAACGACTTGTGAGTAATGTCTAAATTATAATTGTTTTTAATTTTGGCCTCGAGCTCTAGGGGTACCATCACATTTTTTGGCCAAATTTTAAATTCATCAAAAAACGTCCCAAATTTGACATGGATATTCTTTTTGAATATAAAATACATTTTAAAAGTTTCATGTCAAAACGACTTGTCAGTAATGTCTAAATTATAATTCTTTTTTAGTTTTGGCCTCGAGCTCTAGGGGTACCATCACATTTTTTGGCCAAATCTTAAATTCATCAAAAAATTTGCCAAATTGGACATGAAAATTTCTATTTGCATGTAAAATCCTTTTTAAAAATTTTATGTCAAAACTACTTGTCAGTAATGTATAAATTATAATTTTTTTAGTTTTGGCCTCTAACTCTAGGGGGAACATCACATTTTTGGGCCAAATTTTAAATTTATCAAAAAACGTCCCAAATTTGACATGGATATTCTTTTTGAATGTAAAATACTTTTTAAAAGTTTCATGTCAAAACGACTTGTCAGTAATGTATAAATTATAATTTTTTTAGTTTTGGCCTCGAATTTTAGGGGTAACATCACATTCTTTGGCCAAATTTTAAATTCATCAAAAAAAATTCCAAATTTGACATGGATATTTCTATTTGAATGTAAAATCCTTTGTAAAAGTTTCATGTCAAAACGACTTGTGAATAATGTCTAAATTATAATTGTTTTTAGTTTTGGCCTCGAGCTCTAGGGGTACCATCACATTTTTTGGCCAAATTTTAAATTCATCAAAAAATTTGCCAAATTTTACATGGATCTTTCTATTTGCATGTAACATCCTTTGTAAAAATTTTATGTCAAAAAGACTTGTTAGTAATGAATGAATTATAATTTTTTTAGTTTTGGCCTCGAGTTCTACGGGTAACATCACATTTTTTGGCCAAATCTTAAAATTCATCAAAAAAATTTCCAAATTTGACATGGATATTTATATTTGCATGTAAAATCCTTTGTAAAAGTTTCATGTCAAAAGAACTTGTCGGTAATGTCCAAATTTTAATTTTTTTGTTTTGGCCTCGAGATCTAGGGGTACCATCACATTTTTGGGCCAAATTTTAAATTCATCAAAAAAATTTCCAAATTTAACATGGATATTTATATTTGCATGTAAAATCCTTTGTAAAAGTTTCATGTCAAAAAGACTTGTCGGTAATGTCTAAATTATATTTTTTTTTGTTTTGGCCTCGAGCTCTATGGGTACCATCACATTTTTTGGCCAAATTCATCAAAAAATTTTCCAAATTTAACATGGATATTTTTATTTGGATGTAAAATCCTTTGTAAAAGTTTCATGTCAAAACGACTTGTGAGTAATGTCTAAATTATAATTTTTTTAGTTTTGGCCTCTAATTCTAGGGGTAACATCACATTTTTTGGCCAAATTTTAAATTTATCAAAAAAAATTTCAAATTTGACATGAATATTTCTATTTGCATGTAAAATCTTTTGGAAAAGTTTCATGTCAAAACGACTTGTGAGTAATGTCTAAATTATAATTGTTTTTAGTTTTGGCCTCGAGCTCTAGGGGTACCATCACATTTTTTGGCCAAATTCATCAAAAAATTTTCCAAATTTAACATGGATATTTTTATTTGGATGTAAAATCCTTTGTAAAAGTTTCATGTCAAAATGACTTGTGAGTAATGTCTAAATTATAATTTTTTTAGTTTTGGCCTCTAATTCTAGGGGTAACATCACATTTTTTGGCCAAATTTTAAATTTATCAAAAAAAAATTCAAATTTGACATGAATATTTCTATTTGCATGTAAAATGTTTTGGAAAAGTTTCATGTCAAAACGACTTGTGAGTAATGTCTAAATTATAATTGTTTTTAGTTTTGGCCTCGAGCTCTAGGGGTACCATCACATTTTTTGGCCAAATTTGACATGGATCTTTCTATTTGCATGTAACATCCTTTGTAAAAACTTTATGTCAAAAAGACTTTTCATTAATGTATAAATTATAATTTTTTTAGTTTTGACCTCGAACCCTAGGGGTAACATGATATTTTTGGCCAAATTTTAAACTCATCAAAAAATTGCCAAATTTGACATGGATCTTTCTATTTGCATGTAAAATTCTTTGTAAAAGTTTCATGTCAAAAAGTCTTGTGAGTAATGTCTAAATTATAATTGTTTTTAGTTTTGGTCTCGAGCTCTAGGGGTACCATCGCATTTTTTGGCCAAATTTTAAGTTCATAAAAAAATTTGCCAAATTTGACATGAATATTATTTTTGAATGTAAAATACTTTTTAAAAGTTTCATGTCAAAAAGACCCAACAGTAATGTCTAAATTATAATTTTTTAGTTTTGGCCTCGAATTCTAGGGGTACTATCACAATTTTTAGCCAAATTTTAAATTCATCAAACAATTTGCCAAATTTGAAATAGATATTTCTATTTTCATGTAAAATCCTTTGTAAAAGTTTCATGTCAAAACGAGTTGTTAGTAATGTATAAATTATAATTTTTTAGTTTTTGCCTCGAACTCTAAGGGTACTATCACAATTTTTAGCCAAATTTTAAATTTATCAAAAAAATTTCCAAATTTGACATGGAAATTTCTATTTGCATGTAAAATCCTTTGTAAAAGTTTCATGTCAAAACGACTTGTCAGTAATGTATAAATTATAATTTTTTTAGTTTTGGCCTCGAACTCTATGAGTAACATCACATTTTTTTGGGTGTAATATATAGTGAGTAAGCTTTCACTCTCTAGCTATGCCGCGGAGAAGAGGAAGACCTAAGAAATCAGCGAGCCCTGGACATGGCGTACAGACTCCAAGAAATAGCAACGTGAGTTCGACTAAAGTATCACCAGATAAGGAGGTCCCTGAATTGGAGGTTCAACAGAGTAGCGCAAAACCTAATGATGGTATTGGGGATCTGTTGAATCTAGATCTGAAGAACGATAAGGAACCACCAAAAACCTATGCGAGTGTAGTGGGAAATCCAGATGATGAGTTGAAGCTGAAGTTTATACCTGCTACTGAGCTTAATGTTAATCTCGTGGCGAAATTCACGCAAGAGGATATCATCGAAACAGCAACTTACTGGGACGCTACACTGGTATGTTGTATTTTGGGTGCTAATCCTCCTTTGGAGGTGGTTAAGGGATTCATTAACAGAATTTGGAAGGAATATGAGATAGAGGAGGTATCACTGCTAAAAGAAGGACAGTTCATTGTTATGTTTAAGAAATCTGAAGATCGAGACAATGTCCTCAAGTGGAAGTACTATTATTTTGATAATAAACCAGTCTGGGTTCAGAAATGGTACCCTGGAGTTAAAGTAAATGTTGATACACTAGATGACATTCCAATTTGGATCCAACTCCCGGATTTGGATATGAAATTCTGGAGTCTGACTGGACTGAGTAAACTGGGAAGTCTGGTGGGAAAGCCAGTTAAGAGGGACAGAGCAACAGCAAAGAAGACTAAATATTCTTATGCAAGAATTCAAGTGGAGGTTAAGGTTCAACAAGAGTTTCCCAAAGAAATTAAGTTTGTAGATGAAGGGGATAGAGTGATCACACACAACAGGTTATATATGAATGGTACCCCTGTGTTTGTTCTCACTGCAAAAAGCTGGAGCACCTGCAGGAGGATTGCAAGAGAAAGGAAGGCAAAGAGAATGTGAGAAGGTAACTGGTTTAGAGAGAAAAGAAGCTAGAAGAGAACAAGGAAACTGGGCAGAATGCAGATATACCAGGAAAGGGAAATAAGGAAGAAGAACCAGTTATTCGTAATAATGTTGGAACCTAAGAAGGATTTATTGAAGTGACAGGAAAAAAAGCAGCTAAAAGGAAGACAGTTGAAAGCATGGATGGGGATCCTTTGGTGGCCCTTATGAAGGTAATGGAGACTGCCCAATATAGTGGGCATTACCCCTTTCTATCATGATAGCGTGTTGGAATGTTAGGGGGCTTAATAGCCTCCTAAAACAAAATGAAGTCAAAAGAGTTGTGAATAAATATGATATTGGGTGGATGGGGATTCTGGAAACAAAAATAAAAAGTAATAACTTTGTTAGTATTGAGAATAAAATGTTCAATGGCTGGGGTTCTTTTATCAATAATAATGTCCATCCTTTGGGAAGAATTTGGGTAGTATGGAATAAAAGCAAATTCGAGGTTAAGGTGATTGATTGTGTTAGACAATGCGTGCAACTCTAGAGGGGGGGTGAATAGAGTTGTTGAGAATGATTACCGATTTTCGCAGAATTAATAATATAAACGTAAGTGCAGCGGAAATAAAAGAGAGAAGGCAAAGAACACACCGATGTATACTGGTTCACCACCTCGTGGCTAGTCCAGTTCCCCGAGAGACTCTCTCGAAGCTACCACTACTTCCGTTAAGCTTACGGGTTCTTAACAAACCGTTTACAACTCGAGAACTTGAATCCCACAAGCCTCGACACAACCGCTCGTAGATATTCCCTCTACAAGACTTCACAACCAAGAATTAAGTCACACAAGTTTTGAACAACAAGAAGAACAAACTTCTTCAACCTCTCAACATAAACTCTCAAAAGAGTAGAAATGAGAAATGATTAAAGCTCTAATGGATGGCAAGAAACCTCTCTTGAAAATATAATTTTCTCTCAAAATAATATAAATTTGAGGAAGGATTGATGGAGGATTAACACCTCAAGAATGGGGAGTATTGGAGTGTTTCATATATATAAAAATGACCAAGGAAGTGTGTTTAAATAGGAGTTGAAGAAATATATCCGTTGGTCCAGGAAAAGAAGCTGTGTGCAAGAAAAGATGCAGCGCAATAATTGATTAATGCATCATAAAAAATCGATTAAAGCATCTTCAAAAATCGATTAATGGAGTCTGCGAGGAAAAGGATAATCGATTAAAAGAAGATAAAAAATCGATTAGTCAGCTCTGCCAGCCTTAATCGATTAACAGAGGAGCAAAAATCGATTAATGTTCCAGCCCAGGGTAATCCAACGATAAGCAGTTAATCGATTAATTTTGGAAGATTAATCGATTAATAAGGAAATAATGCGCAAACACAAAGGGCCCAAGGCCAGTTGCGATTGAGAGCGAATTGGCTCAAACTAGTTGTTTGAGACAAGAAGAATCAGGGAGCGCTCCTCCTCTCTTATTCAATGAATTTGAATAAGGGAGTAAAAGTGAGTCCAAAAATTATTTTGTGTGTCAAATGATGTACACGAAAAATATTTGAATAAAATATTTTTGCTTACCAAAAATATTTTATAATATCGAAATAAATATTTGATAAAAGTTTGACACACTTTTTGTAACTGACTCAATAAAACTATTTTGAACAGTTAAAAAGATTTTTCAACTGACTCCAAAAATAAATATAATTTTTATTTTGACTCTCATAAAAATAATTTTGGAGAGAAGATATTTTTGTCATCCTTACAATAATTCCTAAGACTCAAATAAATAAAAAGTCTTCGGAAATCTTATACTCCTCCGAGTCCTCCGTTAGGCGCTCCGGACGCATCTCAGACTTCAACAAAATCCTGTGCACCTTCTTGAATACTTCAAGAAATGGCACTTCAAGTCTTCGTATTTGTCGTTGTAGCACTTTAATCTTGATTTGAATAAATTGTGTTTGTCAATTATCAAAACCTGTGAGTCAACACTAAACAACACAGAAAGCCCGGGGCCAGATGGTTACAGAAAGCCCGGGGCCAGATGCTGTTTTCTCTATTCTAAGTGTCAAAAGCTCGGGGCCAGATGGTTACAATAGTGGATTCTTCAAAAGGAACTGGAACATACTGGGGGATTTGATCATTAAAGGTGTGGGTGGATTCTTTCAAAATGGGAAATTCCCTAAACAGCTGAATGCAACCAATGTGGTACTCATCCCCAAAATAGACTCCCCAAAGAATCCTTCCGAATTTAGGCCAATTGCCTATTGTAATGTGATTTACAAGGTAATCTCTAAAATTCTGTGCTCTAAATTAAGGAAGGTACTGCCTCATATCATCAACCTTAACCAAGGTGCGTTTATTGAAGGAAGAGAGTTGGTACACAATATTTTGTTATGTCATGAATTAGCAAGGGGATATGGCAGGAAGGGGGTCTCTCCGAGGTGTTTAATGAAATTGGACCTGAATAAGGCTTATGATTCCATCAGCTAGAGAGCTATTAAGGAGATACTAGAATTTATGAAGTTTCTAAATAAGTTTATTGATTGGATTTATTTCTGTATCTCCAGCACATCTTATTCAATTATGTTAAATGGGGAGAATGTTGGGTATTTCAATGGGGGTAAAGGGATCAGGCAAGGTGATCCTCTATCTCCTCTTCTATTCACTATAGTGATGGAGTACTTAACAAGATCCTTGCTGTATTATGTCGAAAAGAGCAATTTTAAATATCATCCAAAATGCAGGAGTATGAGGTTAATTAATCTGGCATTTGCAGATGATTTGATAGTAGCCTGTAAAGCTGACAGGGGGTCAATCAAGGTTATACTTGAGTGTCTTCAGCATTTTAAAGAAGTCACTGGACTGGAGGTTAATTACTTCAAGTCCCAGATGATACTTGGGGGGATCAGTGACCTGGAGTCTGAGGAGATCCTAGGCATGACTAATATGGCTAAAGGTGTATTTCCCTTTAGGTATCTTGGAGGGCCTATTACTGATGGTAGGATAGGTGATAGGGAATGTGAAGCTCTGGTAGCCAAATTAATAGCCAAGATCTCAGTTTGGGCATCAAAGAATTTATCTTATGCTGGGAGGTGCAAATTAATTAATACACTCTTGTATGGAGTGATATCCTTTTGGTGCAGACTCTTCATTATACCCAATAAAGTGATGCAAAAAATACAAAGCATATGCAGGAACTTCCTTTGGGGTGCCAAAGCCCAGTATACCAAGATACCTCTTGTGAATTGGGATGAAATATGCAAAGCTAAACAAGCAGGAGGATTAGGGTTCAGGGATCTAGTTTCATGGAATCTGGCTTGTAATCACAGGCTGCTCTGGGATATAGCTAGTAAAAAAGACATACTATGGGTTAAGTGGATTCATAATAAGTATCTTAAAAAGGATAATATTTGGACTGTACCACCCAGCCTAATTTCTGTTACTATTTGAAAAAAATCCTGTTGAGGAGGAAAGATATGAGTGGCTTATGGGAGACAATACTAAGGTCCAATGGAACTGGTTTGTTTGGAATAAGCTCACAATTCCCAAGCATCAATTCATTCAATGGCTGGGATGGAAAGACAAATTACAAACCAAAACAAGGCTAGCAAGGTATATGAACATTAGTACTCACTGTGTTCTCTGCTCTGTACATATAGAAGACAAAGAGCATCTCTTTTACTCTTGCCCTTATACTAGAGGGATCCAAAATGAAATATGCAATTGGGTTGGGACCAGATGGATAGCTAATAATGACAAAGAAATGTTGGGGGCAATTCAGCAGATCAAAGGTAGGAAGAACAGAGGTATTGCAATTGCAGTTTTTGCTGCAATATGTTATGCAGTGTGGAAGGCAAGAAATAAGAAAATTATGAAACAGGAGGAGGTGACTATTCTGAATTCCTGCTACTGGATTAAAAGCCAATTGAAGACATATATTAACCATAAATTAAGAGTAGTGCATATTGTTTAGCTGTTTTGCTGCTAGTCTAAATGTTTCTGGTTTTCAATATGGTTGTATATGTGAACTGAATGTTGTGGTTAATATTATGAGCTTTGTTGAAAAAAAACATTACATTTTTTAGCCAAATTTTAAAATCATCAAAAAATTTCCAAATTTGACATGGATATTTCTATTTGCATGTAAAATCCTTTGTAAAAGCTTCATGTCAAAAAGACTTGTCAATAATGTATAAATTTTAATTGTTTTAGTTTTGGCCTCGAGCTCTAGGGGTACCATCACATCTTTTGACCAAATTTTAAATTCATCAAAAAACGTCCCAAATTTAACATGGATATTCTTTTTGAATGTAAAATACTTTTTAAAAGTTTCATGTCAAAACGACTTGTCAGTAATGTCTAAATTATAATTTTTTTTAGTTTTGGCCTCGAATTCTAGGGGTACTATCACAATTTTTAGCCAAATTTTAAATCATCAAACAATTTGCCAAATTTGACATGGATATTTCTATTTTCATGTAAAATCCTTTGTAAAAGTTTCATGTCAAAATGACTTGTCAGTAATGTATAAATTATAATTTTTTTAGTTTTGGCCTCGAGCTCTACGGGTAACATCACATTTTTTTGGCCAAATTTTAAATTCATCAAAAAATTTTCCAAATTTGACATGGATATTTATATTTGCATGTAAAATCTTTTGTAAAAGTTTCATGTCAAAAAGGCTTGTCTGTAATGTCTAAGTTATATTTTTTTTAGTTTTGGCCTCGAGCTCTAGGAGTACCATCACATTTTCTGGTCAAATTTTAAATTCATAAAAAAACTTGCCAAATTTGAAATGGATAATGTTTTTGAATATAAAATACTTTTTAAAAGTTTCATGTCAAAAAGACTTGACAGTAATGTCTAAATCATAATTTTTTAGTTTTGGCCTCAAACTCTAGGGGTACTATCACAATTTTTAGCCAAATTTTAGATTTATCAAAAATTTTGCCAAATTTGACATAGATATTTATATTTGCATGTAAAATCCTTTGTAAAATTTTC